CTTAAACAATTCATGATGGTTTGCTGCACAAATGTTTTGCTGAAATGAGTTATCATTTTCTTAGCATAAACTAAAATTTTGGAATCCAGACCGAAAAAGCAATACTTATACAGTTAAGACATCAATTAAATTAAATACGGCTGTAATACGACAGTATAAATAAGGTGCAACACCAACGATAACTAATTTGTAAATTACAGTGTTGTGTTAGTACGTAAAAATGATTCTTGCTGCTACCAACGGTTCTAAGGAAAAGAACCAGTACCAAAAACCAACGTTTACAGTTGAGAATTACGTCCATTCAATTAAATGCGTTAATCAAGTCCCAAGGTTATTGATTTCTTGGTTTTGGATTTTCTCGTAAAAGGTTATTGGCAATCAAAGCTATTTCCCATTAATTGCTTTATTCGTGAACAACTTTTAATGTAAACTTAGTGGTATCAGTTTGAAAAAAAAAAACAACTTTATACAAACAACTTTTTGTTATTTAATAGATTATGTATTCTCTAAACTATGATTGGTATATCTTTTAACATTAGAAGGAAATGTGACAAAAATCACACCATGCTGGGTTTTTGGGCGTTTGTAATTTTATTTCTTAGGTATTCTAGGCCGTGTATTCTAGGGAAAAGTACCGGTATCAAGGATCGTCGTCGAAAAGGTTGTTATAAATAATTGGGTAGGCGTAAGTACCCAAGAGATGGGCAATGGGCCTATTGGCTGTATGGTCCAGTGGGTCCAGCGATTGCATCACACGGTGAGTAGGAACAGAAAGTGACACATTGGAAAAGCGAGTTTAGCATCATCCATAAACCGTAAACCTCTGTTACAATCACCCACTGCAGTTGTATTTTTTTACTTTACACTTTACACGTCCGCTATTGAAGCTCCGTCAATGAGTGGAAACCTTGTTTGTAAGCTATTGGCGACGATCATTAATAAATTTAAGTTTCCCAGCCCTACAACACTGATTCAAGGTCTTCTTTCTGGTTATCAAAACTCAAGAACAATTTTATACACAAAGAACCTCTGGTTCCTGACCTGAATAATGCCTAGTTATTTAATTTCATTTACGGTTACACTACATTATTCCACTTGCTATTAATTAAATCCGTTATGTAAGAAAAACGTTTCCAATCGCACTTGGTTGGGATTTGCCTTCAAAACGTGATCGGAAATGGTTGCGGTATTTGTAAACAACATTTGTAAACATATCGGTGACAGCTAGAAAAAATAATCTTGATCCGAACAGCTGTTCGTTATTTCATAGATGATTATGTGATATTTGATAAAAAATTGGACGAACACTTGACAAAAATCGCACAAAACTGCATTTTTGAGCGTCCGTAATTTTATTTACAAAGTAGTGAGGCCATATTTTAATGGCTAAAGACACTCTCGCCAATCCAGTGAATACATTAAAATGACTTGGATCTTGATAGGTACTCTCGTTTTCCTGGAGAAGATTGTCTGTGCTATGGCTAAAATACGTTTTTATTACTGCATCAGCTGGAGACACTCTCTGAATATCTGCTTCAACCATTTGTTGTCAAACATTGATCTCGTAAAATAGTGAAATTATTTTTCGTATGCACTAATAGAGCAAGGTTTGTACTAAAAGAAAACCTTCTTTTAGTTTAAAAAATACATGTTTCACAGGAAACATTTTTAACCATTGTAGTAACACCATTATAGCTTAAAAAGTTGATAAGTGATAGTTAACATAATATTTAGCACATTGACGGATAAACCTTTTTTGATTTCGTCATATTATAAGTGTATGAAAATTCATATATCTGTGTATCAATATCTACTTATCTCATTTCTGTTCAATGGAAGTTATACAAATTCAATGATACCGGTACTTAAATGGGAAGTCTTACAGCTGTTATAAAACTGTGCATACATTTTATCTTACGAGTGAATTTGCTACCAATTGATATAGTATGACAATTCTATTCTACTGCAGTACTTAGAATTCTACCACTACTCACATTAAACCTACCATATTTACTTTTGGGCTAGTGATTAATTTATTGTATTAATCACACAATATAGTGAATAGTGTAGTCATTTATTTATTTCGTTTCTATGACATAGCTCTATTTTGTAGAAATCAATTATGCAATCATAACAACAGAAATACTGCATCATTACATTTTACGGTGACATAGTATTTATTTTACATGTAAAAAATTTAAGCTAATGCAATAATTAGTTCAATTAGAACCATTGAATATTGGATAATTTAAACATTAATCGAAGACGAAGCGGTTGACAACTTTCAAACAGTTGACTAGGCCTAGTTTCCTTCAATAATTGCAATGCGAACTGTATGCACTGAGGTCGGAAAACAGTGTTCACAGTGTGCAGGCACTTTGGACGTCGTGGCACTTGGACGTCGTGCAACAGTCAAATATTGATTGGACGTCGTGGCACTTGGACGTCGTGCAACTGGCAGAGGCTTTGGACGTGGTGCAAATGATACTTCTTTACAATTCTACAGTGCACTGTTTCACGACGTCCAAGTGCCACGACGTCCAAAGCTTGTAGAAAGACTACATTTTTGGCAGTTACTATACTTTTGGACGTCGTGGCACTTGGACGTCGTGCAACAACTCAAAAATTATGTTTTGGACGTCGTGGCACTGTAAAAATATTATTGGACGTCGTGGCACTTGGACGTCGTGCAACACTCCCGGTGTAGTCAGCTTTTTCCCATAATAGCAGCGTAAATTGTTACATAGTTTGGTACATTACTAAACTATCTTCATTACTTCAGTGAAGTAATCCAGAGAGGGATTTCAGGGCCTTAGCCATTCGTGTTGTGTAATATTACGCTTCCTGTAATTAATATCTCATTGTATACGTTATTTCTCAAGAGAATCCACCGACTAAAACTCCATCGCTTTATTTTCTTTTCCGAGTTCTTGTTTTTAATTAATTTATACCTAATGAAATCATTATAAACGTGGTATACATTTTTTTCTAAAAGTCATGTGGTAATGCTTAGGTAATAAGCATTACCGTAGCTTTAATAGCGTTACCTAGACCTGGGACCTATTTAATATTTTGTTTTTATGTCCCAAGAGACCAACAACACAATCCGTTCGAATTTATATCAAATGATCCGATGTCGATTAAAGCTTGCTTCAGACGTGTAAACCTACGTTTATTCTAACAAGTTCGCGAACCATCATGACCGGAGGATAGAAACAGAGTTTTATGGGACTAAAAATCTATTTTTATAATTTTGTTGCAAAAAAATAGGATTTCCCCATTTTTACTTAACTATTATGTAGCTCTCAAAAAACAAATGATTCAGTGTCTTAGAGTTGTTGTACAATTGGTGGTTATAGAGAAAATGAAAAAAATAAATTTTTAATTCCTGAGTTGTTCTAATGGAGAATAAGTAAACTGTTGCAGTTTCCTTGTTTAAGGACGTATTTCTTATCAAATTTGACAAGTTGGTTTGTTCCATGCTAACCTATTAACATTTCACCAAAAATACGCCCTATTATCTTCACTGTAGCAACAAACCTAAGTACACGTCCAACACCATGTTATTAAAATAGGGAATATATCTGACATGTTTAAGGTATATTTACGTAAAAATCCAATGTGAATAGAAATTTGCGTTGTCTGCAAGTTTGCTGCGGCGGGTGTAATATCTTACTGTACTGTTCTGTATTGGGATGTATTGTACTACACTGTATTGTATTGTACTTCACTGAACTGTACCGTTTTGTATTGTAATGGTCTAAACTGTAGTTAAGTCAGTTTGCTGTTCTAATGAGTAACGAGAGACTGATGGCTCTGTGGTGGCTGGTGAAGTTGGTTCAAGTTAAGCTGTAGTTAACTATCAGACTTGTGACTTGCGGTTAGCTAACTACTCGCAACGCCCGTACTACAGGTAAAGAGGCGTTCTCTTTAAAATCATGTACACATTTTATTTAGTCCAACGAGCCCGAATTAATACAGTACTTAATACTTTAATACTTTACAACTTATCGCGATTAAGTTAGTTTTATTTACAATCTACTCAACTCAGCATTTTAACATTGTGAATGGTAATTCATAACTAAATCTTGGTTAGCTTCAGCGTTAGGACAGTGTCTGCTGGACGACGATGATGGAGGGTAAAGACTAGACGTCCACGTTGCCTGGAGACCACACGTTCAACTCAAACTCATCTCAATGCAATCACTGCCTGTCTCAATTAATTTGTACGCAAAGTTATGTGCTATAATTGTTAAATCTAAAAGTAACGTTAATCTTCGAAACTCGGCACATGGTAACAACATAAAAAATGCACTTTTCATCAAAGTAACAACTTTTTCCCGGCCCCCAAAACGTAGAAAATTTGGACAGCCCCAAATTTTCAAATGTAAACCCCTATTGAGTGACCCCTCATTTTAAAGAATCACCATTCCCTATAAAGTCTAAGAGGTGAATACTCCAAGACCCAATCCTAGTCTTTGTCATAATGTTATTTCACTTTGACCAAAATATATACAGGCCACAAGAAGTATCAGGTAAAACATATGCAGATGTGCGAAAACTTCATAATTAAACCGTTGCAGTACTTTACTGTACTACTGGGCTCTGTGGTTACAGACAATTATACGTGGTTTTTAAAGTGACACTACGTGATATATACGTTCCTAATAACAGGGCATGTCGCATGTGTTATTAATACTGTAGAAATAAAAAAAGTGTACCAAGTCTACAACATAAAAATAGTTAAATCGATCTTCGGATGTCTAACAGTATCTCAGAGATAAAAACATTTTTACAACACGTTATAGCATAAAATACTCCACATAATTAGTTTCTTTAGTTTGGAAGATTAAAAACTAATATTTATTTTTTTACAGAAGAGCCATTCGTCTTCAAAATTATATAGTTTAACAGTAAAAAAACCTGGACATAATTGTTTTACACTATTACTATAAAACGAAGTAATCAAGTTTGGATGATCAATCAAGAGGGTTATTTACCTGTTTGAGAAGAATTAGTGGGAGGACAGAGGGGGCTTAGAGTTAGTCCCAAGTCTCCCGTCAAACTTGGAGCTGATGTTTTCTGAAACAAGAGGGATTCATTAGTAACACTTTGCAACTCAAGTAGAACCAAAACACTTTTAGTTACAAGACAATTTTATTGAAATTCTTCAAAAGAAAGGCATAGGCTATAACGTTTTTATTTCCCAAGAATAATCCGATTTAATTATAAAGCGTTTTACAAAAATCACATGGAATATAAAAGGATCCATTTATCAATAGAAGGAAGCCAGTTTAAACATCAGCCATGCAAAGTTGATTGATAGTAAATATCGGAAAAGGCATTCTGTCGAAGCCGCAACGCCGAGATCGATGAGGCAATGGCTGATAGGTAGCGTTGGGAACAAGAAGGAAATAAAGGAACCTATAAAGTAGCAATTTGCTGGTTCAAGGGTGGGGGAGGGGAGAGTGATGACACGCACAACACGATACACGAGAACTCTGACTACCTAGCGACACGAACGATAACACAACTATAAATCTCATGTTGAATTAGTTAAACATGTAAAACATTCATTACAATGATAATTTATAGGAACAAAAATTACGGATGACAAAGTTTCGAGGAACTCAGTTTTAGTTCATCACACAGGAAAATATATAGTTATTTTCACATAGGTATTTTGCCATAGTTAGAAGTCGTCCAATATTACCATATTGTACAGCTAAAATTGTAGCATAGACAAGTAGAATTTTGTCTATGATTGTAGCTACATTTCTTATGTTCTGCTACGGAATGATGCCGACACCAGGTGATGCTAGGCCGGGTTATTGCGGTAAAGCGAGGTGGCGAGAAGCAGGTGGCAACGTTGGCGTCAAGTCTATTTACAAGGTGCGGTCATTTGTTGCCGTCAACTATATATTGCTGATACCACTGTGTTCAATATCACCTCAGCCAGAGCTACTGAGTTAGTTACCAGTACCGGTATATGGTTGTGTCCCACCGGTATTGTGTGGTGTTCTTGTTAATGCCAAGTGGCCACTCTGCAGGCCGCCGGCAACTATATTGCTGATACCATGGTATCCATTACCTCAGCAAGAGCTACTGAGTTAGTTACCAGTACCGGTATATGGTTGTGTCCCACCGTTATTGTGTGATGTTCTTGTTAATGCCAAGTGGCCACTGTGCCAGCCGTCGTCACCTATATTGCTGATACCACTGTGTTCAATATCACCTCAGCCAAAGCTACTGAGTTAGTTACCAGTACCGGTATATGGTTGTGTCCCACTGGTATTGTGTGGTGTTCTTGTTAATGCCAAGTGGCCACTGTGCCAGCCGTCGTCAACTATATTGCTGATACCACGGTGTCCAATATTATCTCAGCCAAAGCTACTGAGTTAGTTACCAGTACCGGTATATGGATGTGTCCCACCGGTTTTGTGTGGTGTTCTTGTTAATGCCAAGTGGCCACTCTGCAGGCCGCCGGCAACTCTCATTGCTAACAATCCCACCCCTATCTCCACCACTTGCAATTATTCTCATCACTCCGTCCCTTTGCATGTGTACTCTCACTCTCTTTGCTGCGAGCTCTCGTCGTACGTTTCACAATCGTTACACTGCCACACTCTTTCACTATAACGCTTGTTTACTGTCTTGTGAATAATAATCTCGTCTAGTTTTTCCTTGTTGGTCGTAATTGTTTCCCCACACAAACCATTTACTATTTTTTACTTCTTTTAAAGAGGTTAATATTCAAAAATTGTATTTAGTAATACAGTATGTATATTTTTTTATCTGAGAGGGCTTGAATTACGGGTCTTGAAATAATTTTTTTCGAAATCAACTTGATAATTGTTGTAAAGAACAGCTATTTTGAACCGTCTTAACAATTTCAAACGTCCTAGAAAGAGAAACCTACACATATGTGTACGAGTATGCATGTTAAGTGTGCAACATTTTTCTAAATAACGAAATGTTCAAAACTTTTAAAATAACGAATAAAAAAAATGTGTTTGAGAATGATACTTATTTATCGCATTTTTTCCCTTTTGTTTTGTAACTAAGGCATATAAGGTTCAACCAGTTAAGAGGGAGTGCGATTTATGAAATGAAAAATTCAATCCTCTTGTTTTTGCACAGTGTAATTATGTATAATGGCGCAGCAAATTTTGAACAAATAAATCAAGGATAAATAATATAATTAATGAGTTCAACAGAACAGCTTGTTTCACTTGCTCGGCAGCTTAAAATCATTGATACTGTACAATGGGGAGCTCGTGCTATTATAAGGTACCCGTTTTTTATAGTACCCGTTTCACCGCTCTCCCAGGTCGCTAGTTGTTGTCTTCCAAGGAAATTTGTACTGTGTTTAGGTGGTATAATATTGTTTATGTCCGAGTGTATGAATAGTGTTATTTATGAATTTATCACACATTTATTTGACATGCCAAATGTAATCGTTCTATTTCTACCTGGAGAAGAACTATAGAAGAAGAAAATAAGAGATGCAGGGAAAAACTGGAGGGAAGTGAGAGCCTTGGCTGCCAACCGAGTCCGATGGCGTTGTTTCGTGGAGGCCCTATGCTCCGTGCAGGAGAGAGAGGAGATAAGTCAAGTAAGTCTAGTAGTATTCCTTTCTCTACATCAGGAGATATTAGAATCTACCAGACTTTGATTGTAACGGCACGCACAAAATCATTCAAAAACGGCTTTAAGTTGTCAAAAAGTAAAACATTTTTAGTCTGATATTATTACACAGAGTTTACTGATGATGCTGGAAATACACCTTGACATCAAGATGTCAAAGATAATCACGTTACTTTATTAGACAAAGTTGAACACATGTTAAACTGCAAGTACTGCAAGTGGACTGGAGCGGATGCAAAGTAATTGACAGTGTAGACCCAATTTCCCCTTGCGAGATCAGCTTCTTTAAGGTGATGTTTAACTGCTCTTGTTCTTTCCTAACTAGAGCAAAACTTTGTGATACGTCGTATATTCTGAACTCCGAACAAAAAAAATCATTTAATCTATTTATCTTTCAGTCAGTTGGAAAACGTGGTAAATATTGTCCTTGTTCAGCTCAGTATCAAACTCACCCGGTCAGCATTCTCAACTATTTACTACTCGAGCTCAGACAGAAGTGACGTCATACACTCTGACTAAGAATGAGCGTGAGTAGTGAATAGTTGAGAATGCTGACCTGGTTAGCTTGATACTGAGCTGAACATTGAACAAGGATCCCTAGCTATGCTGCGCCATTTACATAACAGCGCCGCGAGAAGCGCGTGCAGACGTTTAGATCTTCTCAAATTGCTCAGTTAACTTTTACAATTTTTACAAGAGGTTTTTTTACTACAGTAATTACATTCCACTCTATGACTCTCTGGTTTTAATTTCCATAAACTACTCTATTCTCATGAGTAAAGTGTTTCAGAAAAAGCTTGTTTGGAGGTATTAAATTTCTACTATTAGCACAAAATTACAGCCGTACAAGCCTAAACTAATATGAAATTAATAAAATAACATAAATATATAGCCTATATTTTCAATCGGATAAGAACAAAGCCGACAACGACGGAGATCCCAAACCCTTGCATTAGCGCCCGGCGGAGAGGTAGAGCGCACCCTTAAGAGATCGTGCGTTTTTCAAACAAAATTACAACAATATCCACAGTAGTTATTTGTGTAACTAGGGCGCGAAGTGGCATTTTGCGCTCGCGTTACACATTATATCTTTCCTATAGTTACTATAAAGCATATAAATAATTGTTTCAAACACTAGACAGAAAATGTTTGGTTAGGTAAAATACATGCGTTGAACGAAAATAGAATGTTAACACGAAACAACAGGTTAACATAGTATCAATACTCATAGGCCGTGAAACGATGCACCAGCTGATCGTAGTTGTAGTATCTTCAAGTGTTGCCAACTTATTTCCAAGCGTTGCCTTATAAAGCACACTGTTTTGTGTTGTTGGTTGGAATAATGGGGTGCGAGAAGTACGTATGTAAATGCAGCAGTTAGCTACTATGCGTGATATAACCAGTGCAAGGAAGACCGCCTTGACAAGTAACTGTAGTAAATAGTTATTTGTGCAACTAGTGAGAAAAGTGAGCAATTGACTCAATCGAGAGAAATCCTTACTCACGAGCCGTAGGCGAGTGAGGAATGGTTTCTCGAGTGAGGCAATTGTACTTTGAACTCGAGTTGCACATTATACTTTTCCTACAGTTACCATAAAACAAATAAATTTGTGAAGAAACATAACCTATCTTTACACAGAAGTGAACTTTCAATATAACATTTATAAGTGACAAATACAACAGTACAACAGCTGACCAGCTACTTTACAGCCAGTGCTGCCAACGTATTTCGTGCGCATACGACGTTGCCTGCATGTTACGCGCTCACTATTTCGTGCCTTCACGTTGAAAATCTGGAGTGAGACAAAGTAATTAGAGTGAGACAATGTTAACATTGTCTCACTGATGAGCGAATTGGCCACTTTGCTTTCTCAAACCAGTGAGAGAACATGTACATTGTTAGGTAACTGTAGGAAAAGAGATTTCCTTACTGCTTTTAGCGAATTTCCCTATAGGGAAGTAGCTATTACCGTAGGTGGCACGGTAAGACCTAGACCCGGGACCGATTAACTTTTTCATTTTGATGTCCCCAGAGGCCAAAAACACCATTCGTTCAAATTTTTATATATGTATATATATATATATATAGACATATATATATATATATATACGTCCGTGAACGCGATAACTTGAGTAATTTTTGTCCGATTTTGATGAAATTTGGTTTAAAGGTGTAAAGCGGGATAAACTTGAATGAGTTCGCGAACCAGCAAGATCGGACCATGGGAACGGGGCTTTACGGGGGGTTTTATGGGGTAAAAATTGGTTTTTCTCACTTTTGACCCTCAAAACACAAAATTTCCCGATTTCTCTTTAGACCTTTTTAAAGAGCTTAAAAAAACAAATAATTTAGTATACAAAAGTATTTTTGTTCGATTATTAGTAACGGAGAAAATTAAAAAAATTGTAAATTTAAAATTCCCATGTTATTCTTA